TGCAGTCTTTTTCCATGTCAGGTAATGATTGGACCATATGTTCAAGCATGTTGAACATATCTTCCAGGATACCATTGCCATGGAATTTAATGAACTGCACCGCTTTCTGCAGGGTTCGCACAGCAGGTAGAAGGGGAAACTTGTGAACCCAGGCAGAATAACCTTTGGTACCGGACTTCATTTTGAGAACAAGCCCCTCCCTTATCTCTGGCATCTGCCACTCTATGCCACGGTTGGAAGTACGCTGTAGGGCCTGAACTTGTCTCTCTGAAAGCCAGGGGGAACAAAATTTCCTCCTTAACTTTGACTGAGTACGGTCCTTGGCCCTTATTGCAGCCTGCCACTTCTTCTTGTACGTTGAGTGCTCAACATTATTTTCTAATTCTTCTATCCGCCTGCGTTGCTGATCAATTACATCATTAGCAAGATCCAATTGAACACGTTGTGCAGTCAAGGCATCCGCCATTTCATCCAATTTAGCCATGGTTTGTGCCTGAGAAAAAAAAACGCAATCAAATAAAGTGGACTGTATACACAATGGTTTAAAAAAAAAAGTTTGTTCTCATACCTTTCTTGGTTCAACAACAGCAGTATCACTGCTGTCACTGCTGGCTAGCTCATCTGATGGTATGAGAGAACCAGTTTTTTCATCAAGTATGTACTGCAAAAAAAATAATACAAACATTTTAAAAATGAGTTCTAAATTGCATTTTAAAGCTTAGATTGACATGCCAATAAGCTTGCCTCAGTTTCTAGGGAAAGACTAAATGTACTCACTGAACAATCACTAAACACAGAGGTATTTTGTTGATTTGTACCAGACGGTCCAGACATATCACACTGATAAAAAAAGAAAGAGGAAATTAGTTCAACAGAATTGGAATGATGGATTTTATTTTACTATACTGTTGGTAAAATGCAAGCACTGGACTTTTGATACTTACAGTACGGAGAGTAGGAGTGGGAACAATAGGAGTGCTAGTGAACAGTGGAGGGCTTGATTGTGGCATTTTATTCCGCACAGGTGTCACAGGTTCTGCCGCTATCATAGACGGTTCCAAGTCACTAGCTGTGTTGAGTGGTAAACCCAATTTCTAAGGACAAAACATAACACATACAACAGGAAATTGTTAGGAATGTCTGTGGAATAAATAAAAAGAGCGTCTCTTAAAACATGCACCAACAGCACATACCTCTACAACTGACTTCGGCACTTCAATAATGTACTTTGTCTGCCACATATCTGGAGGCGAAGCAACAGGTGGATGTGATGCTGGCACAGCAGCCTGCTGTAGGTAAAAGCAAATACAAATAAAAAATAAATGTAATTGTTTCTTTAGACAAAATCTCTAAACAAAGCCTTACATTCGATTCGTGAAGCAAAAGGAGGGCCTGTGCAGCCTCTGCATCCCCACAATTCAGGTCTCTCAGTGGCTTTCTAAGACTCGGGACAGCTGACTGCTTCAGCCGTTTCTCACCATCAACTCTGACCTTTTCATACTGACTATTATCAAAATGATCCTGAAACATGGAATAGAAAACTGTAGAGCCAAATTTTACACAAGAATTCTCTCACTATAGCATTTCATCCGTTCGTTCTCACCTCACAGAAGTAAGTGTTGGGCCGGACACGAAAATTAGGGGGCAATATAGCTAACCATTTACTAGCCTGATTTTCATCTGTGGGAAACTTTGTAAATTTCTTACCCTGCCCGCAACGAGTGGCACAGCCGGGAAAGCCACATTTTTTCCACCCCATTCTTCTAAATGAAACAGAAAACCAAATGTTTTAGTCACGCTCTACGTGATACAGGTTAAACGAGTAAGAAAAGCACACTAACCTGTGTGGGGTCACATTTGCCAGAAAATCTTCGTGAGAAAAACCAAGACGACAGTCAAAAGATTACTTTAAGTCTTGGTACTTAGGCCTGTTCTGTCCGTCGTTAAAAAAACTTGATGTGAATGGATCATTCAAAGGACCACGGGGAAGCAAAGGGCCTGCAAATGGCGGCCGGCCAAACAAACCACGCGAACTCCAACCAAAACCAAACCCAGCGCGCCTCAAAATCTCCCCAAGATGGCCGCCATGAAAAATTCAGCTGGCAGATGGGTAAGACAGCCATGACGTTTCTCTCCCCTATAGGACTCTAGTAGAGGCCAGCGCAGTATTCAATGACCGGACGAATGACCGACCGGTAGAGCTGGAGCAAGAGATAAGGGTGGGCGCCCCACCAAGTGCCAGCCAACCGCCGCAGGAAATTCAGCCGTTGGGCACACTTCTGGAGAACAAAGTTAATGTGCGCTGTCCACTGGAGCCGGGAGTCGATCTGGAGGCCCAGGTACCGCACGACGTCCGCGTACGGCACCGGCTGGCCCAAGCAGTGCACGGCCGGAAGAACTTCGTACGAAGGCCGCGGGGAGAACACCACAACCACACACTTGCCGGGGTTGAGCGAGCCACCCCCCGCGAGCAGGCGGCGCGTCAGCAGGGTGACAGCAGGCTGCAGAGCGCGGACCGCGGCAGTCGCCGTGACGCCCGAGGCACGGAGAACAATATCATCAGCATATTCATCAGCCAAGCAACCAGCCGGCAGCGGCCGGGTAAGATACCTCTTCTCAAAAATATAGAAGAAGGGGGACAGGACCGCCCCCTGATCCAGACCAACGAAGGAGACCCGGGGGCCCAGGACCTCCCCGTCAAATGCAGCCGACAGGTGGCGCTCGCGAAGCAGGGCCGCCACGTTGTCAATGAGGATCCGCGGCGCGCCTGCCGCAAAGAGTTCCTGCACCACCAGTTCCGGCCGAACAGAATTGTAGGCGCCCTCCACGTCGGCGAAGAAGGCCGCCACAGAGCGCCCCTCCACCCGGGCGTCGTACACGGAGGTAAGGAAGGAGCCGACCGAGTCGGCCGTGCCCATGCCCTTCCGGAAGCCGCTCTGAGCTGGGTTCAACAACCCCCGCGACTCGGCCCACCATTCCAGACGCGGCTGGATAAGACGCTCAAAGACCTTATAAAGGACCGAGGCCAAAGCAATCGGCCGGTACGACGCCGCAGAATCAGGGTCCTTCCCCGGCTTCTTAATGGGCACCAGCAAAATGCGGCGCCACTCCCTCGGGTGCGTGGCAGTGGCCCAGAAGTGGTTGTAGAGGGCCGTAAGGCAGGCGAGGGCGTCCGGAGGGAGGTGCCGGAGCATTGCAGCAGTAACCCCGTCCATCCCAGGGGCCGTGTCCTTGGCCCGCCAAATGGCCGACCGCACCGCAGAGAGAGTCCAGGAGGGGGGTGCCCTACACGCCCGGCTCGGCTCGCCGCCCGGGCTATCTGCCCAACCAGATCTTTGCGGAGAGGGGCCCTGGGTGCGCTTGGGATTGGGGGGAGGGGGCGCAGTCACTAAATACCGGAGGAGTTGTGTCCGACCGCTCGTGAGCAGCGAGCGAGAGCGGCTCGTTCGGCCGGCGGAGGTCGCAGTAGTGAGGACACGCAGTCCTCCACCGGAGGACTCAGCAGGACACACCTGGAGTCCGGAACTCAGCCGCAGTTTTCCTTCCTTCCAGCGACCCCGCCCCCCTGGACTAACAACAGCTGGCTCGGCAGCGGCGGGGGGCGGGCGAGGGAAAGTTTGACTACTCGGGGAGGGTTTGAAATGAAGCAGACGGATGAAGAGTTGAGGCGTCCCTCGCCGCCTCGCTCCCGTTTCGAGCTTTGCTCTCCCGGTGCCCCCCTTCCGTCCGCCCTTCCACCCCCACCCAATATTTTACGCTTTGCACCCCTCGGCTTCTCATCCACCTCCCGCCGCCGCCGTTTCGGGGGGAGGATTCCCTCACCCTCCCAGTCCCTTTTAACCCCCTCCACCACCACGATGCCGAGGAGAGGTTCTCCGGAGCATCGCAAAACACAAATGGCCCCCTTATCGTGTCAAGTAGAGAGCGAGGCGAGGACTGCTTAATTCAACGCGGAGGAAAAGGGGTGGGGGGG